TCAAGTTAATCCAAAAGAAAACATTAAAAGGAGTAAGAAAGGAATAAAGAAATGTATATGAACAAAATAAATGGTAGGATTATAGATTTTATCTCTAAATTTATTAGTTACTGAATTAAACAGAAATAATTTTAGTTTGGGGTTAGCCAAGTTTTTCTGTAAAGAGCCAGACATCAAAGAGTATTTTAGAGTTTGTGGTCAATACAGTGTCTGTTAAAGTGTTTAATTCTTCTTGTGAGAACCTAAAGTAGCCATAGAAATTACATTTTTTGTGTTCCAGTAAAACTTTATAGAGACTAAAATTTGAATTTCATGTTGTTGTCAAAATATTATATTTTCTTTCCTTCCACTCCTTTTTAAAATGTAGAAACATTGTTAGTTTGTAGGCACTGTGAAAGGGTAATATGCTGCATTTGCCCTGTGGGCAGTAGTTTGTTAATCCTTGTTTTTTGTTTTTTGTTTTTTGTTTTGGAGAAGTCATCTTGCTCTGTCTCCCAGGCTGGAGTGCAATGGTGCAATGTCAGCTCGCTGCAATCTCTGCCTCTAGGGTTCATGCGATTCTCCCACCTTAGCCTCCTAGTAGCTGGGACTACAGGTGGTGCCACCACACCCAGCTAAGTTTTGTGTATTTGGTAGAGACTGGGTTTCACCATACTGACCAGGCTGGTCTCGAACTCCTGACCAAAAGTGATTTGTCTGCCTCAGCCTCCCAAACTGCTGGGGATACAGGCATGAGCCACTGCTTCTGGCCTAATCCTTCTTCTAAACCTACTCTTTCCAATATGTTACCACTAAGCCACATAGGGTATTTTAATTAAAATTAAATGAGATTGTCAGGGTGGGTAGAAAAGAAAGACCCAGGTATATGCTGTCTATAGAAATTCACTTCAAACATAAAGATACAGCTTAAAAGTTAAAGGGTGGAAAATGATATGCAAAACTAATTATAAGAAAACTGGAATTACCATATTAATATCAGAAAATGAGACAGCTATATTACTATGGCCAACTAAAATGAGATTACTAATTACTGTTTTAATATCATAAAATGAAAAAGGAATATTAGAAATAAATAGAAATAATGCTATTCATTAGGAAGATACAATTCTGACAGTATTTTCATTAATAGCAGAGCTTTAAAACACATGAAACAAAAACAGAGAGCTTAAAAAATATATACAATCCACAGTTATAATTGGAAATTTCAACACTTCCCTCTCAGTAATCGATAGTGCAACTAGATGAAATCATTCAGAATATAGAAGACATGAACAATATTGTCAACAAAAATGATATTATTGACATTTCCAGAATACTCTATCCAACAAAGAAGAAACCGCATTCTTTTAAAATGACCTACACAAGTGTTTTTTTGTTTTTGGTTTTTTTTTTTTTTTTGAGATGGAGTTTCGCTCTTGTTACCCAGGCTGGAGTGCAATGGCACGATCTCGGCTCACCGCAACCTCCGCCTCCTGGGTTCAGGCAATTCTCCTGCCTCAGCCTCCTGAGTAGCTGGGATTATAGGCACGCGCCACCATGCCCAGCTAATTTTTTGTATTTTTAGTAGAGACGGGGTTTCACCATGTTGACCAGGTTGGTCTCGATCTCTCGACCTTGTGGTCCACCCGCCTCGGCCTCCCAAAGTGCTGGGATTACAGGCTTGAGCCACCGCGCCCGGCCTTACAAGTGTTTTTGAGGATGTGAAACAGTTTGAACTCTTAGATAATAATAAATGGTACAACTACATTGGTAAAATGTTTGGGAGTTTATTAAGTTAAACCTTTGTCTACCACACAACCTGTGAGCTCCACTGCTATCTACTCAAGAGAAATAAAAATGTATGTCTATACAAAGACTTGAACAGAAATATTCATAGCAGCTTTATTTATAATAGTCAAAAATGGAGGCCGGGCTCAGTGGCTCACATCCGTAATTCCAGCACTTTGGGAGGCTGAGGTGGGCGGATCATTTGAGGTCAGGAGTTTGAGACCAGTTTGGCCACCCTGATGACACCCCATGTCTCCTAAAAATACAAAAATTATCCGGGCACGGTGGCACATGCCTGTAATCCCAGGTACTCAGGGGGCTGAGGCAGGAGAATTGCTTGAACCTGGAAGGTGGAGGTTACAGTGAGCCAAAATCGTACCACTGCACTCCAGCCTGGGTGATAGAGTGACACTCTATCCCCCCTCAAAAATGACAGTCCAAACCTTCATCAGCCAATGATTGGATGACCAAATTGTGATAAATTAATACAAAGAGACACATTAAAAAAAATGAATCTCAAAAACATCATGTGAAGCAAAACTGCCAGACAAAAAGAGTTCATATTATGTGAAACTCTAGAAAAGACAAACCTGTAGTAATGGAAAACAGAGCAGCAGTTTCCTGAGGCCAGAAGTGGTGTGACTGATTGCAGAATGGAGCATGGAGGAACCATTTATTTAGTCATAGTCTCTTTTTTTTTTTTGAGACAGAGTCTCACTCTGTTGCCCAGGCTGGAGTGCAATGGCATGATCTCGGCTCACTGCAACCTGTGCCTTCCAGCTTCAAGCCATTCTCCTGAGTAACTGGGACTACCGGTATGCGCCACCATGCCTGGCTAATTTTTGTATTTTTAGTAGAGACAAGGTTTCACCATGTTGGCCAGGCTGGTCTCAAACTCCTGACCTCAAGTGATCACTTATGGTCACCCTCCTCAGCTTCCCAAAGTGCTCAGATTACAGGTGTGAGCCACTGTGCCCGACCCATAGTCTCTTCTGTTTTGTTTTTTACTTAGGTAGCTTGCCTTTTGTCATGTATTAATTAGCAAGCTCACCAAACTTCCTAAAACTTAAGTTTTCATAAAAGCCAGTTTTTGGTTAGCCACCTGTAAGTTGATGGCATGGCATGGTTGATTGTACATCCTGAAGACAGATACTCTATTTAAATGTTTCCTAGGGGTTTTAGAAATTTGCTCTTTTTTTCCTATTTGGTTCTTTACGTATCAGCAAGAAACATGTATTTTTGTTTGCTAATCATTTACTTACTTGGGTTAGAAGTTCATATTTATCAAAAACAGTTTTTTTGTTTTTTTTTAAGACCACCCAGTTCAATCAAACAAGTCTTTATGGAATGCATGTATGTGCTAGCTACTGTCCTAGGTGCTGGAGATATAGGTCTGTTTAATGTGAGACAGAGCTAATTAAACAGGCAATTATACAATGGATAAATAAGTACAAGTTAGGATCATTTTGGGACTCCTAGCATTGGCACTTAATCCAGTTGTAGTGGGATAAAAGAATGACTTCCAAAGGAAGCAACATTAAATTGAACCCCGTGATGGGAGGAGGTGGGGTAAGAATAGAGGGAACTGTACATGCTAAGCCTGGGAGGCTAGAAATATCATGGTATGTTTGGGAACTCCAAGAAGTTCAATATGATAGATTTGTTGAGCCAGTAAACAAAAACTGGCAACTCATTACTCCTGACTTCTTGTTACGTGAGTAAAACTAACCTTTTATTTATAAAGCCACTCTAGTAAGGTTTTCTGTTACCTGAACATGTCTTTAACCAGCACAGCGAGACAATAGTATATTTGAGTCGAAGCAACTCCGTGTCTATAAATAATATTAAGAAATCACAAGGCATAATAGTGTACCTGTAGTCCTAGCTACTAGGAAGGCTGAGGCAGTGGGATTGCTTGAGCCCAGGAGTTGAAGGCTGCAGTGAGTTATGATCACGCCACTGCACTCCAGCCTGGGTGACGGAGTGAGACTCTGTCTCTAAAAATAAATAAATAGCCCAGGACAGTGGATCACGCGTATAACCCCAGCACTTCCGGAGGCCAAAGTGGGCAGATCACCTGAGGTCAGGAGTTCAAGACCAGCCTGGCCAACACGGTGAAACCCTGTCTACAAAAAATACAAAAATTAGCTGGGCATGGTGCATATCTGTAATCCCAGCTACTTGGGAGGCTGAGGCACGAAAATTGCTTGAACCGGGAGGTGGAGGCTACAGTGAGCCGAGATAGTGCCAGTATATTCCAGACTGGGCGACAGAGTGAGACTGTTTCCAAAAAATGAATGAATGAAAAATAAATGGAAACAAATGGATGGATCAGATAACTTAGGGACAAAAGAAGTGAAATTCTAAAATGAAAATAACTAGCTTTCAAGAATAGACCGGAAACATACGGCTTGTAAAGGAATCTAAAAAGGACCAGGGGATAAGATAAATCAGAAAAGTGATTTCATAGAATGCCCAGGTTTCACGAAGGAAGATATGGTCAACAGAGTTACATGCTCCCAAGTTAAGACAAAAACTGGAGTCCATTTAGTCCTGGGCAATGTAGTGAAACTCATTTCTGCCAAAAATTGTTGGAAGTTAGCTGGGCGTGGTGGTGTACCTGTAGTCCACGCTACTTGGTAGGCTGAACTGGAAGGATCGCTTGAGTGCAAGAGTTTGCAAAGAACTTTTTTCAGAAAGAGAGAGGAGGGAGCATATGTTAGAGAGGACTTTATCATACTCTTAGTGTGGTATAATAGTTGATTTTTTAAAAATTTCCAAATGTTTGGTACCCTTATATTGTTGTTTAAGACCAACAGCGGTATAAAAGATTTGTTTGATGTCACATATAAATGAAAATACTTGTTAATTTCATGTTTTATGATGTTTCAGGGGACCCAGTTTTAGTAAACCACTCCTAAGAACATTGTTTCTAGGCCGGGCGCGGTGGCTCAAGCCTGTAATCTCAGCACTTTGGAAGGCCGAGGTGGGTGGATCACGAGGTCAAGAGATCGAGACCATCCTGGCTAACATGGTGAAACCCCGTCTCTACATGGTGAAACCCCGCCTCTACATGGTGAAACCCCACCTCCCAAAGTGCTGGGATTACAGGCTTGAGCCACCGCACCTGGCTATTAGGTTAGATTTTATGCACATTAGAACTAGGTATTGAGAGGGGTCTCTCCTTGCTGCAGTGCGCCAGAGCAGAGTACGAGTCTGAGGGTGATGGAGTCATGGCAGGACAGGCGTTTAGAAAGTTTCTCCCTCTCTTTGACCGAGTATTGGGTGAAAGGAGTGCTGCTGAAACTGTAACCAAAGGAGGCATTATGCTTCCAGAAAAATCTCAAGGAGAAAAATCTCAAGGAAAAGTACTGCAAGCAGTAGTAGTCGCTGTTGGATCGGGTTCTAAAGGAAAGGGTGGAGAGATTCAACCAGTTAGCATGAAAGTTGGAGATAAAGTTCTTCTCCCAGAATATGGAGGCACCAAAGTAGTTCTAGATGACAAGGATTATTTCCTATTTAGAGATGGTGACATTCTTGGAAAGTACGTAGACTGAAATAAGTCACTATTGAAATGGCATCAGTGTGAAGCTGCCCATTCCACTGAAGTTCTGAAGTCTTTCATCATGTAAATAATTTACATATCTCTCTTACAATAAACTAATGATAACTGATGACATTTAGTGTCTCAAATTGTTTCCTTGTACTGATAGAAACATTTCCAAATAAAAAAAAAATATATATATATATATATAAAAAAGAACTAGGTATTGAGATAATGCGGCGTCTTTGCCAACAATGAAGAGTAGTAAGAATGTTAATTTTTCAAAACAGTAGAATGATTTTGTTTGCTTGTTTGTTCATTTATTTGTTTTTGAGACAGGGTCTTGCTATGTTGCCCAGACTGGTCTTGAATTCCTGGATTTATGCCATCCTCCTGCCTTGGTCTCTCAAGTAGCTGGGATTACAGGTGCATGTCACCTCACCCAGCACACCTCAGTAATTTTGATGGAACCCTTTTAAAAATGTCATTAAGATCTTAGCTTTCCTGAACCTTTAAAAGGAAGTATTCTTTTTTTTTTTTGAGACGGAGTTTCGCCCTTGTTACCCAGGCTGGAGTGCAATGGCGCGATCTCGGCTCACCGCAACCTCCGCCTCCTGGGCTCAGGCAATTCTCCTGCCTCAGCCTCCTGAGTAGCTGGGATTACAGGCACGTGCCACCATGCCCAGCTAATTTTTTGCACTTTTAGTAGAGACGGGGTTTCACCATGTTGACCAGGATGGTCTCGATCTCTCAACCTCGTGATCCACCCGCCTCGGCCTCCCAAAGTGCTGGGATTACAGGCTTGAGCCACCGCGCCCGGCGCAGGAAGTATTCTTTAAACTATGTTCTTTATATGCCTTTTGAGTTGTCTATAAACTCCATGAGTGTATTTGCAGAAATTTTTAGGTTTACTTTTTCTTAGGAATATCTGTAACTTTCTTAGAAAACCAACTTTCTTAGAAAACTGCTTCCCAAAGAAGCAGACCATAAGACAAAACTGTGAGTACGAGTAGTCTTTTTGGGAGATGATGCGAGGAAATACTCATGGGGAGGGAGGAAATGAAAAAAGAATAGGAAAAAGAGGCAATCTAGTTGTCTCCATGGATAACTGGAACTGAATTCTCGTGTTGAGCTCTGGGAGACTTTGTAAGTCATATCTCAGATTTATTCTAGCCAAGAAATGAAGGAGCTTCTGTAGGTTACTGGTTGAGGGCTGTTCCCAGGAAGGGTTACTTTTCCCTGCCCTGTCATCAGATAAAATTCTCAGGTAAACACTTGTACATTTCTGCACTAGAATCCTAAGTGCTAAGTGGATAAAGTTGAGCTGCCACCAGCATCTACTACAGAGGTAACAGTAAAATATAAGTTCATTTCTTGGTTAATAGAAGACACTTAAAAATTGTTTAATTGGAAATTCTGTGACATTAGGGATTACTAATTTTTGTTGTTATTTGTTCGTTTTTGGTTTGTTTGTTTATTGAGACAGACTTCCCATCTTGTTGCCCAGGCTGGAGTACAATGGCATGACCTCAGCTCACTGCAACCTCCACTTCCTGGTTCAAGCAGTTCTCCTTCCTCAGCCTCCCAAGTAACTGGGACTACAGGCGCCTGCCACCACACCTGGCTAATTTCTTGTATTTTTAGTAGAAATGACGTTTCACCAGGTTAGCCTGGCTGGTCTTGAACTCCTGACCTCAGGTGAACCACCTGCCACGGCCTCCCAAAGTGCTGGGATTACAGGCATGAGCCACAGTGCCCAGCCAGGATTAATTATTTTGAAAATGTCGTAATAATGATATGGTTATTTTTAAATAATTATGGTTAATATCATAATGGTGTTATCGTTATTTTCAAAGAGGCAACAATGGCATTATGGCAGTTTTATCTTCTAGAGATACACATTGAAGTATTTATGGATGAAATGATATGTGGAATTTGCTTTAAAATGATCCATTGGAGAAGAAAAACGTCTCTTGTTCATCTGTTTATCTTTGTTTAACTGAGGTGATGAGGTCATGGGGTTTTATAGTAATAGTCTCTCCTTTTGCTTTTTTTCTAAAGTGTTTAATGTCATCGTTTTTGCTGGGTAGAAGTTTTTCTGTCTGTAGTTCAAGAAGTTCAATGTGGAATGAATGGTTTAATTTATATAAGATTGCCAGAAGCACATTCATTGTTATCTTCTTCTTTACCCATTTGCAAATGCTCACATAGAGAAAACAGTTCTTTTAGAAGTCTTCAGACTTCTAAACCTATTTTTTATTGCTTTTGCTTGCTGATGTTCCATTTGATTATAGTTAAAAATCACTAACATTTTATTCAGATACAACAGATCATTTGTTTGTTTATTGATCATTTTTAGCAATTGGCTGGCTAGCCCCCAAATAAGGTGTGAGAATTTTTCTTTAAGTAAGACATGATCACCATCTGCTGGTGAATAATGATAACTTTGGTTGGGGTATTGCTTTATGATATATAAAGTATATTCATGTACATTTTCTAATGTATTGAAATAATTAGAAACTATAATGAGCTCATTTTGTTCTGCTTTATGACAAAATCTCAGAAAACTATAAGATGACATAGTATACTACTCATCTAGGTACCTCTGCTTGTCAAATGAATGTTAACTGAAAAAAGGTATGAGCTGATCACTTACTCGCAAGGAGTAAAGACAGAATATAAATTTCACAAAGAAATAGAGTTCTTATAGTATAAGATTATGGTTCTCCAGAATTGTCTATAAAAGAAAGATCTAACTGATTTTGTAACAGCTACAATTATGGCTTTGAATCATAAAGGAATCTCCTAATATGCTGTTGAAGGTTGTTTGTCCGTTTTTGTTGTTGTTGTTGTTGTTGTTGTTTTTAATTTTAAATAATACAGGGTCTCACCTTGGCACCCAAGGCTGAAGTGCAGTTGGTGTAATCATAGCTCACTACAACCTTGAAGACCTGGGCTCAAGCAGTCCTTCTGCCTCAGCATCCCAAATAGCTAAGCACTGTAAGCACATGCTCCCATACCTGGCCTCCTTATTGGACGCCTGCAGGGGAGCTGGGCGCAGTGGCTCATACCTGTTAATCCCAGCACTCTGGGAGGCTGAGGCCATAGGATCACTTGAGTCCAGGAGTTCAAGACCAGCCTGGGCAATAGTAAGGAGACTTGGTCTCTACTGAAAAACTTAAAAATTAGCTGGGCATGGTGGCACATGCCAGTGGTCCCAGTTACAGCTGAGGAAGGAGGATTGCTTGAGCCTGGGAGTTTGAGGCTGCGATTAGCAAGCCCTGATCATGCCACTGCACTTCAGCCTGGGCAACAGAGCAAGACTCTGTGTTTAAAAAAACAAACAAACGTCTCACTATTTCCCAGAGTGGTCTCAAACTTCTGGCCTCCAGCTGTTCTCCTTCAGCCTCCCAAAGCATTGGGATTACTGATGTGAGCCACCGGACCTGGCCCTGCTCAAGTTTTAAATACCTATAGAACATACATGATGGTTTTGAATCATAAAGGAATCTTCTAATATGCTGTTAAAGGTTCCTCCGCCCTTTTTTTATGATACAGGGTCTCACTTTGGCATAAAATAGAAGCCTGGAATTTTATAGAGGTGTGATGCTAGGATATGCCTATATAGGTATTTCTTTAATTAAGTATATGGACTTGATTATTTACTTCTATATATAGATATCCATAGAAGCATTCTCCTTTCCCTTTTCTCCCCTTAAAAGGGAAAGTAAAGGGAGGCAAAAGACAACAATAAGCCCTCTTGGGTTAGTGATGTCACCTGTTAGCTCCCACAGTGATCTGAATAACCCAGAGTCATTTTCACCATCTTTTTCATCTCATCTTCTTTATCATTTCCTGGGTATTAATATATTAGTTCAGATAATTTCTCATTCACACCTACAGGAACTCTCTTTTTTTTTGCGACGGAGTCTTGCTTTTGTCACCCATGCTGGAGTGCAATGGTGTGACCTCGGCTCACCGCAACCTCTGCCTCCTGGGTTCAAGAGATTCTCCTGCCTCAGCCTCCTGAATAGCTGGGATTACAGGCACCTGCCACCATGCCTAGCTAGTTTTTTTGTATTTGTAGTAGAAATACAGTTTCATGGCTGGGCGCAGTGGCTCAGCCTGTAATCCCAACACTTTGGGAGGCTGAGATGGGTGGATCACAAGGTCAGGAGTTGGAGAGCAGCCTGGCCAACATAATGAAACCCGTGTCTCTTAAAAATACAGAAAATTAGCTGAGTGTGGTGGCGGGTGCCTGTAATTCTAGTTACTTAGAGGCTGAGGTGGGAGAATCGCTTGAACCTGGGAGGCAGAGGTTTCAGCGAGGCAGGATCGCTCCACTGCACACCAGCCCAGGTGACAGTGCAAGACTCCATCTCAAAAGAATAAAAAGAAACAGGGTTTTACCATGTTGGCCAGGCTGGTCTCAAACTCCTGACCTCAGGTGATCTGCCTGCCTCTGCCTCCCAAAGTGCTGGGATCACAGGCATGAGCCACTGTACGTGGCCTAGGAACTCTCTTTTTTTTTTTGAAATGGAGTCTCACTCTGTTGCCCAGACTGGAATGCTGTGGCGCGGTCTCAGCATCTCGACTCACTACATCCTCTGCCTTTCAGGTTTCTACTGAAAAACTTAAAAATTAGCTGGGCATGGTGTCACATTCTGGTGGTCCCAGTTACAGCTGAGGTAGGTGGATTGCTTGAGCCTGGGAGTTTGAGGCTGCAGTCAAAAATTCTCCTGCCTTAGCCTTCCGGGTAGCTGGGACTACAAGTGCGCACCACCACACCTGGCTAATTTTTGTATTTTTTAGTAGCGATGGGGTGTCACCATACTGGCCAGGCTGGTCTCAAACTCTTGACCTCATGAACTGCCCACCTCGGCCTTCTAAAGTGCTGGGATTACAGGCATGGGCCATCGTGCCCAGCCTGGAACTCTTCTTGCCTAGCTGTCTGCAAAAATATTTTACTTTGCTTACTCCCCATCTCCCTGTTGCTTTTCTTCTCTTGTTATTTTCTTG